GAGTACAGAACTTCCGGGCAGAGAGAGGTTTACTGGGAGAAGAAGGCAGACATGAGTGATTCAAGACAGACTGGGAAGGGAACAGACAAACAGAAACAAGAGAAAGAGGTAAAAGAACTAGCCATCTGGTGGGTCCTAGGCTAGAAGGGTCAGGTGTATATGGTAACTGGGAATCTGCCCCAGAAAAAGGCCTAAGCTCTAAACTATATAAAAGTCTCCATGTAATTCTTTATACCACTGGCGGGCCTAAAAAGTTCCACTATAGTCCTGCCCCTCACCACTGGGCAAGAACACTTCTGACGTAAATCCTGAAGAGATGCTCAAGGGTAAACTCTCACAGGCCATGTGACTTGGTTCTGGCCAATAAGGTATGAGCACAAATTATGGATATTACTGTCAGTTCTGTCTCCTCAAAAACACTGTATAGTTCCTAGATTCTCTCTCTCTCTCTCTCTCTCTCTCCCTCTTTCTCTCTCTCTCTCTCTCTCTCTCTCTCACACACACACACACACACACACACACACACACACACACACACACACTAGAGAACTACATACATAACATTTACTGAGTATTTTCAAAGTTCCAGGAGATGGTGGGATAGAAAGATCTTGGCCTCTTTACTCTCAGAGAATAACTGGTCAGGAAAGCTGCCTAAGCATTGGGTAGGTATCACCTTCACCAGCTAGCCAAAGATAACAACACCAACAACACAACCCCTTGGCATCGGATGCCTCCTTAAAGCCACAGCATTGCCAAAAATGCAGAAGTTCCATTAAAAAAAAAAAACAAACATTCAGAGACAGGCTCAGACTGGGAGACATTCTAGAAAACAGTTGATAAATAACATTATTAACTTCCAAGTTCTTGAAAGATCCCAGAACTATCACAGATTGGAAGAGACTAGGGAAACATGAGGATTGTAAAGAACTAGAAAGCAAACCAGAAAGAGAACATTAGAGAAACTTGATAAAATGCAAATGAAGTGTGTTAGCCGATGATATTGTTTCAATGTCCACTTCCTGCCTTCAGTGTCTGTACTGAGGTGATGTGAGTCATCCTGGGTTAGGCAGGATGGTAAACTTTAATTGTCAACTTGACACAACCCAGATTCTCTTGGAAAGAGAGTGTCAACGGGGGTTCATCTGTATTAGGTAGGCCTGTGGGTGTGTCTAAGCAAGATTGTCTTGATCAAGTCAACCGATGGGGGGTAGACCCAGATCATCATGGGTGGCACCATATCCTAGGAAGGGAGTCCTGAACTGAGAGTGGATACACTGAGCTCAGGACTAGCCAGCAATAAAGTAAGGTGTTGGCACACATCTCTCTCTGTTCTTGGTTGTGGATGTGGTATGACCAGCTGTGTCAAGCTCCTGCCCTGCAGTGATGGACTGGAACATGGAACTGTGATCTAAAACAAATATTTTCTCCCCTAAGCTGTTTTTTTTCATCAGGGTACTTTATTGCAGAAACAGAAATTAAACTAGGGCAAAAATAGACACCGAGGGAGTGGCGTGGTTGCTGTGGTCGACCTGACCGTACAGCTTTTATGCTTTGGACAGTTTTATAGGGAGAATGAGAGCACTCAGCACACTGGGCTAAAGAAGCCACTGGATGCTGGAAGCAGAGGAATGGGACAATTTAGTGGAGGCTAGGAAGATAAAAATTCTATAAGGGACAGCCTGTTGAGAGGCAGTTCATGGGGTTTTAGAGAGCATCAAGGAGTGTCAGGAATGGGGAAGGGATCATTCTGTGTGCAAGGATCAGGCTGGAAAGCAGCTCTGACTGTCAGAGAGATTGGCACCACCGAAATGAACCTCTGAGCTTCAGAGAGGCAAAAGAAAATATCTCCTCAGGGTCTGCACACAGATTCTGGTACAGCTGTAATCCAAGATGGGCAGGCTACATCTCAAGCTGCCAGCAGAGCTTGGAGATGTGTCATTCGCACGCTACTGGCTCTGAAAGCATAAAAGATGCAAGACGTAGGGTATCATGGAGAGGAGCTGAGAGCTGTGTCAGAGTCCCTGAGTAGAGCTGTGAAGGTGTTCTCGGGTACCATTGGAGATCTCCAGGGCATTGGAGATGGTAATAGAGTGGAGCCACCCTAAGCCCAAAAGAGAAGCTGTGTGTGTTGCGAGCAGCAGAGCTTCCTAAGTCCTTTGGAGCAAAAATCCCATTAGGAGCTTCAGGGGCTGGACATTGAACCCACAAAATTTGGTATGTGCCCTGCTGGATTTGGGGTTTATTTGGATCTGATTATATAATAGGACCTCAGACCTTTGTAGACCCCAAAACTTTAGAACACCTGATGCTATAATAGAGGTATCATTATGACCTTAGAACCCAGCATGTAGGCCTCAAACGTGTCAAAACAGGAACAAAGACCTAATCTGTTGAAGACCTAGCCCATAAAATTCCAGAGTCTGGGAAACTCCCTAAGCTTATTTTGCTCCTGTAGTTTTGCTTCTTCCTAACCAAAGTGTGTCAACCAGTATGTGGCTATTGTGCACAAAAGGCAAAGAATGCACAAATTCCCCCTGTAGCTTTCCAGCTAGCAAATAAAGACTTTCTGTTGGCTTGAAGAGTCTGCATTCTTTAAAGGAGTTGCCTCACAACATTATGGAGGCCCCAGTGAGATTCTCTGAGATGCTTGGGCCTCAGGTCCTCTGAACTGATTGCACCAAGAACTGACAGTTTCTAGGGAAAGCGCATCCTGAGACATTCCAGAACCCCAGAGAATTTCTCCCACCTTTATTCCAGATGCTTCTACCCCAAACAGGAAACTACAGAAAGTCATCTGGATCTGTTCTCTCTGGAGGTAAGTCTGTTCATGGCACCTTCTGCATAGGGGACTAAGAAAAGTCTGGACCCAACCCTAGTTCCAATGTCTGGGATCCTCATGAGACATCACCAGAGTCCCTGCTTTGAGTCTGTGTGATGGCCACCTCTGGTTGTCCTTACTGTGTGTCTGTCTGTGTCATCCTCTGTGCATTTCTGTCAGTTCTATTAGTTGAAGAAGCAGATCTAAAATGGAAGGAGAAATGAGACCTATCCTGAGACCACAGTGGCTGCTGCAACTGTGGTTAGTGGGCAAATGTCTGTCAGTCCTGTTCTAGAGAATTCAATACCCTCTCCTGGCTTCTGCAGGCACTGGGAGCATTCACAGAGTGCCCAGACATGCTTGCAGACAAACATGCACACACATTAAAATTTAAAAAGAGGGGACTGGAGAGATGGCTCAGAGGTTAAGAGCACTCACTATTCTTCCAAAGGTCCTGAGCTCAATTCCCAGCAACCACATGGTGGCTCACAACCACCTATAGTGAGATCTGGTATGCAGGCAGAATACCATATAAATAATAAGTGAATCTTAAAAAGAGTAAAAGATTCTGGTTTAAAAGTGCTGTGTTGTATGTCAGGTTGACAAAAGTGGTGTCAACTTTATCAATTTGGCTTTATCAATTTGGCTTGAAACAACCAGAAAAAGAGAGTCTCCATGAAGCATTGTCTATGTTGCGGGGGGGGGGGGGGGGGGGGGGCGGTATCTTAATTAAGTAATTGATACCGGAAAACCCATTCCACTATGGGTGGTGCCATTCCCTAGGCAGGGGATCCTGAACTGTATGAGAAGAAATCAAGGTGATGCTCTGTGCATATGTTTCTCTCTGCTCTTAGCTATGGATGCCACATGACCAGTTGTATCACACTCCTGCTGCTGTGAATTCTGAATGATGGACTGTAACCTGGAACCATGAACTGAAACAAGCACTTTATCTCCTAAACGGTTTTGGTTTTGTTGTTTTTGTTTTGAGGATGACAGCGTGTTATCACAGCAACAGGCATGAGACTGGATGAAGCCACTCTCAAGCACTCCTGGTTCTATAACTTTTCAGGAAACACGAAATTCAAAATGAAAAGCTAAGGCGAACTGGAGAGACTGCTTGGCAGTTAAGGGCACTTCCTGCTCTTGCAGAGGACCTGGCTTCCCTTCCCAGCAGCCACATCAGGGTGAAATATCACCTGGAACTCTGTCTTCAGAGCATCTGGCACTCTCTTCTAGCCTCTGTGAGAACTGTACTCATGTGAACACAAACACACACACACACACACACACACACACACACACGCACACACACGCACAAGGGCGGGCACTATGTTCACAGAAATAGTAAAAATAAATGGTTTTTAAAGATCTAAGGTAAGTCAGGGTGGAGACAGTGATAGAGACCATCGTAGCCCTCATGGTGGCTTGCTCTTGCTTCATTGTCACCAGCCCTGAACAATAAAGAGCCTTGCTGGCTTTCTCCTTTTGATCTCTTTATTACAGAAACTTCTGTTTATCCAATACTAGCTCGACACCCGCCTTACTATTAAACCTGAACCCTGCAAGCTTGGGTCTGAGTAGCTGCCTTGCCTCCTGGGTATCTGATGTACAATGGATGACCAGGCTCAGTGAGTGAAGGAACAGGGCTCTGTGGTCACATTCCGTCCTGCACCTCCTTGATCATGGAGCCAGTGGGAGCACTCTGGTCCTCAGTGGTCCTTCTGTCTAGGCCCTTCTTGAGCCTGCATTGTGACAAGACCCTGGCATGACGACATTTTTTTTTTCATTTGCTGTGGGCCTCTCGCCACAGCCAGGACAGCTGTTGAATAAACCGATGTCATGATGTCATACCAGACTGAAAGGTCGCTGAACTTCCATGTTGATAGTAGGAACAGCACAGCCAACAGGACTGGGCTGGAGCACCTCCTTTATGTGACTGCACAGACAGTAGCGGGTGAGATGCTGGAGTACAGGGGTTCTAGTAGAAGGTACCAGCAAAGCCATGGGATTAGCTTCTCAGAAACAAGGTGGACCAGGAGCCATGATGTCATTGAGTCCTGAGACAAAGAAGCACCTATGTCCAAAGCAAAGACCCCCACCTCCACCCAGAGATGAGAAGGGGTGGGCAGTGACTTGTGACTTGAACCTCACCTGGCCCCGAACATATCAGGACAGATTGTCCAGACACCAAGTAACACTTTAATAAAGGAGATAAGTGGCTGCTAGTATCGCCTGGGGTCCTGTGACTTCCAACCCACTGAACAATTAAACTGGAAGATATTCGAGAAGAAAGATGGTAACACCGAAGGGACACCGGGTGGGGCAGAGCCCAGGGACCTCACAACAGCAGCTTCAGAAGAAGGAGGGTACCCAAGACAGAGGAGGCAAAGGAAATTTTGATGGGTAGGTTGGCCGATGAGCTGATGACAGAGCCTGGGGGTGTGGTGGCCTTCATGCATTCAACCTTCTTGAAAATGAATTCTCCAACTGTCGTGTTCTCGGGGGACAGGAATTGACAGGTAGCATTGCTGATGTTGGAACAGCCTCTCAGCTCTACTTCATCAGCACCTGAAGATGCAGATGAGAAAGTCAGAACTCTGCACAACCCTTCTGCCCAAGCCCATGCAGATGATCCATCTGCAAGAGGCTGAGCACTGTGCAGCGGTCCCTCTACTCCTGAAAGCCATCTTTAAGGAAGAAGCCCAGAGTTAAGAATAGCAGACAGTAGCAGGACAAGAACTGTGGAGGTTGGAGGCCAGGCTCCTCCTCACCTAACCCCAAAAGCAACTGAGGCTTCGCGAGATGGATGGCAAACCCAGACTTAAAAGAGACGTGGGAGCTGAATCTTGGATGCCCCATCTTCTGTGTCCCTGTGGAGCTGTCAGGTAAAAAAAAAAAAACAAAAAAAAAACAAAAAACAAAAAAACAAAGACAAACTGGGCATGGTGGTGCACACCTGTAAGCCCAGGACTTGGGAAACTGTAGCGGGAAGATCCTGAGTTCAAGGCCAGTCTCAGCTACATGGCAAGAGCCTATCAAGAAGAACACAGAGGGGAAGGGAGGAAACAGAAGGAAGGAAGAGAAAGAGAGGGAGGGAGGAATGAAAGAAAAAGAAAAAAGGGCAAGCGTGGGTGACAGGATCAGCGGCAGTTCTCCATTCAGACTGGAATGAATCAGTGGGCACCCTGCGGTCCACCTGACCTCCAGCATTTCCTTTCAGATCTCATTCCTCTGGATCTGGCTTCTTCCTGTCTGAGTTTTCCTTTAGAAAAAAAGAAACGCCAACAGAAAGCGAGCAGGAAACTCTCAATGTCTCTACCTTAACTCAAAGCTCTGTTGATTTGAACACAGTTTCAGATTTGAGTTGTAGAAAAAGATCCATGTCACTTTCAAAGATGCAGTTATAACACTGGCTACTTCTAGGTGGTTGTGCTACTATGGGTCTGTCAGCTGCAAATCAAACATTCCTGGGAATCGAGGAGCTCCCAGAAGACTCAAGGGACTCAAGGGTGTCCCTTGGTGCTGTCAAAGCATCCTGGGTGAAAGAGACTGCCAAACCCCAGAATGAAAGCACTTTGCTCTTGCTTCATCCCTGGTATCAGTGCTGCAGAGTTGAGCTAATGTGAATCAATGGGTACAGAGCTTGGCACATCTTGATAGGATTTTAAAAGTGCTGTTAGACAGAAACAAGGAAGAAAAGGTCCATTTGTGGTCTCCCTGGCTTTCAGCATCAATGAGACTACATCGGCAGGAGACACGAGGATGAGATGAGCAAAGAAAGTCTTAGCCACTGTTGCTGCCTTTAGGCACAGCTTTAGAATTTAAAAACCCAGTGCAGTGTGGGCACTCCGAGCATTTCAAAAGGAAAGTGACATTTCTCTGTGGTGTAGCTTGGTGGTAGAAGGTATGTTTTTGCATGCATGCGGCCCTGGGGAATAGAGAAGAAAGAGAGACAGAGGAACAAGAAGAGACTGAAAAAATGAGAGGGAAAGAGAGTGGACATTCTGAAATTTAAAAAAAAAAATGCATAGAGGCAGAGAAAAAAAAAAAAAGACCAGTGGCTGGCAGAGTCTTGAGGGGTAGAAGAAAAGCATGAGAAGATGGTTCACAGAAGGCTTTTAGGGCAGAGGGTCTTCCTCTCTGTGACACTGTCATGCTGAAATGGACAATATCAGGAGTGAACCCTAAGGGACTGGGGACTTGGGTGACTGTGTCATCTTTCCACTGTGGTGAGCGCTTTAACAATGACAGCAATCGCACATGAGCCAGGCAGCAAGGGTACACGGGGGGGGGGGGGGGGCATCTATGCCTTTAACTCAGCTTTAAAATATCTCTTTAAAAATAGTTTTTAAAGACTTTAAAACATAGGATACTTGCATCCTCGGGTAACTCCATGATTATAGTTAAGCTTGGAAGTTGACATTAAGCAAAAATTGAAATGAAATCTGTATTTGGGTGCAGGTCTTAAACCCTTATCAGTCTGAACTGTGTTTTAGCTGAGACTAGCTGCTTATTCATTTTTGGTTTGCACCTCTTTGTTTCCTTCTTGGAAGTCACTAGACCACATTCCATTAGCCAGGATGAACACATTGGTTCTAACCAATGTAGTGTGTAGGAGGACACTCTACAGTCACTTCCAGTCCTGACTCCTGAAATAGACCCTGCCTTGCCTCACTGCCCTCCTCACCACCTACCACACTACCTTCCAACTCCTACCATAAAGGAGCAACAGACATCTACTCTGTCCTAGGAAAAGAAGGAAAGAGCTACGGGACAGTTGTGGCCCCAGGGCTGTTCCATTAGCAAGAAGCAAATGTGCACTTCTTGCACATTTGTTGGTTGGGTAGTCTGGCAAAATGATGGCCACAGTCAGGTTCCTTTTGTAGGGAGAAAGGAATAACCAGGTGGCCGTAGCTGCCGAGAGCCAACGCCTCTCAAGATGTAAAAGTATATATAGGTATAAAAACAAATAAAAGCCACACCCATCCACACCTACAGAGCAATGGCAGCCTAGTAGAGAAGCAAGTGCCAGGAGGGCAATGCAGTCAGATAAGTGAGCCTAGGGTGTGACTACAGGAAAGCAAGAGAAAGAAAGACAGCCGGAAGTAGCCCTGGATGAAGGGCAGACATAGTAACCAGCAGAAGGCTTCATGGTCCTCTCCAACTGAGAGGCGTCCTGAATTAACCCTCCCTCTGCTTCCCATCCTCAGCTCTTCTGCCTTAGCCCAGCACTTGCATCAAGGCTGGATATATTTCAACTTGAGCCCTGTTAAGGAATTGAAGCTCCAGACTTACCATTTGCAAACCCAACAGTGATGTGGACACATTGTTCTCCTTTGTAACATAGCTGGGTTTTCTCCTGGCAGACAGTTTTGTTGTGGCTATAACAGGAAATGCACTCAGTGGTGTCCTTCTGCTGTGTTCCAGAGTCTGGGAGAGGAAAGCCGTTACTTAAGACCACGTTATCACACTGCCCTGGGAAGCTGGGATAGGCGGCCAGAGAAATTTCTGGAGAGTCTACAGCTGGGGAACCCCAGATCTAGCCCTGAAGACACATGCTTGGCCCAAAGGTGTTCTATGCACAACCCCAGAGACCCACCCTTCTGGGGCAGCTAATCTGGAAGAATGGTGGTCTACAGTGCTCTGGGAGAAAGAAAAGAATCCAATCTGTGGCCAATGTCACTGCCAGTTAGCTGTTTGGTTCATTAGCCAACAGGTGTCTGATTGACTTTAAGACATGTTCTTTACAGATGAAAATCGTCCATTTTCCTATTTCGATGAGGAAAAAAACTAAAAATCACTATGAGAACCTTCGGTCCTAAAGGTCTGTGCTTATGATGATGAACCTCATCGTTCGCCCATGCTTTCTTTCTTCTCTAAATCAGTGATTCTCAACCTATGGGTGCAACCATCAGAAAACGTGTATTTCCAATACACGTTCAGACACGTTGGTCTGAGGAACTGAGACACCACTCAGAAGCAAAATTACAGTTATGAAGTAGCAACAAAAATACATTTATAGTTGGGGGGGGGTTCCTAAGACCATTGGAAATACATGTTTTCCCATAGTTTCAATGCACTGGTGGAGAACCACTGTTCTAAATAAAGACTTTGATCTAGGTGGCCACTTCTCAAATGGTGGTCCAGGGACTCCAGAGTCCCTGAGACCCTGCAGGGATTCCAAAAGTTTAAAACTATTTTTATGCAAAACCAAGGTATCGTGCGCTTAAACTCCTGCTGCCTTGTGTGAATGCAGAGGAATTTTCCAGAAGCCCCACATAATAAGTGAGACTGAAACAGACTAAATATACCAGCAAATATAAGATCCCAGCTTCTCTCTCTAAGCCAGGATTTAAACACTCTAGTCTGGGGGAGCAGAGAGACAGCTTAGTGGTTAAGAGCCCCTGCTCTTTCCAAGGACCCAGGTTCAGTTCCCAGCAACCATGTGGCAAATTTGAATCCTCTGTAACTCCAGCTCCAGAGGATCCAAATACTCACGTCTGGCTTCCATGGGCATTGTATATGCATGGGGCATACACATGCACACATACACACACATACAAATACACGCAATAAATATTCTAATATATACTGTATGTATTTGTATATGTGTATACATAATAGCATACATTATATACAACATATTAAAACATATATACAACTCATTAAATGGGGGTTTTTTTGAAGTTATTTCAAAAACTCTTACTAGTGTATGTGTGTGTGTGTATATATATATATATAATTTTTATTTGTTTTTGTTTTTTGAGACAGGGTCTCACTATGCAGCCAGGCTGGCCTGGAACTCGCAGAGATCCACCCTCCTCTTCTGCCTTCCAGGTGCTGGGATTAAAGGCGTGTGCAACCACACTGACTAACTCTTTTCACTTTTGAATAGATGAATTAGGATTTGTGGCTCTGCTTAGCTTTAATACCTAACCTGGTAAATATTAGCAGGCGGAGGCCATGTAAACAAAAGTCTTGGGGAGTCTTCAGTTGTTACTGAGACTTAGAATATTGCCAGGTGTGGTGGCCGAGGAAGGGCACTGATCAAAGGTCATCCTTGGCTCCCTAGCAAGTTTGAGGTGAATCTAGACTGTAGGAGTATCGCCTAAAAGAAACTCTTAGTTGAGGCCCTGAGATCACAAAATGACTAATGAGCATTTGTTTTTCTTGCCACACACATGAACCGTCAAACAACCTCCATCTTCACTGGAAAGGGGGAAAGCATGATATTTGATCTGATGTAGCATCTCCCGTGTTTCTTGTGTAAGTGCTGTAAGCCAGCTGCTAACATGGCCCAGCTGTGTGAAGTGCCTGGACTTGAGACGCCCATCCCCAGCCAATCAGAGCAGGCGGAAGAGCCAGGGTGGAGCATGGAGGTGTGACACAGGCCCGCCGATACAAACCATGGCTGGTGTCATTGCAAGCCTTTCCTTGGCAGCACTGGCTTGCAAAATGGAATCTTTGGTCATCAAACACACGCACGGTGAAGTCCACTTCTCTGGTGGCGTTCTCTGTGCAATTGAGTGCCGAGCAGAAATTATTCTGGTACAAATTGGAGACTCCTCCTATGCCAAGGCAAACACAGAATGTTAGTCCCCGGAGAGGCTTCAGGGAGAGCAGCATCCTGAGGAGACAATGCTTCAGACAGGGCACAGCACAGGAGGGTAGAGGCAGATGGATCCCTGTGAGTTCAAGGACAGTGAATTACAGGTGAATTACACAGTGAATTATAGGTCAGCCAAGGCTATGTACTGAGACCCTGTCTTGGGGAAAGAAAAACAACAATAACAAAGAGAAAACTGTTCCAGTTCAGAGACCTTTCCCTCATCAGACTGACAGAGAGATGGGTTAAACTCTGCCATTAGCTAACTGACACCTGGTGAGCCACCTGCTGTCACATGCGTGCCCAGGAAAGATGTAAATGACGCACAGCACAAAGTTGTGAACTTACAGAACATACTATTAAAAGTTTTCACGATTTTTGTTGTTACTACTGTTAACTACATCTCTTGTTCTTGAACATGAACTTTATGGGTGACAACGCTGTATCATGTCAAAAGGTAGGGTATCCAAAAAAAAAAAAAATGCTTAGGCAGGAAGGACACCAGAAAGTTGCAGTCCAGTCTGACACATATACAGCCCTCCCAGGCCACTAATTTGTTTTAACATCTCAAAAAATAGTAAAGCAGACACAGCGGGTTTATTATATGATACATCACAGTACCAGGTGTGGTTTCCTTCCTAGAAACTGTGTGAGAATCCGGTCAGAGCTACCCAATACGGAGACATCAGCAATATGTGGCCATTATGTTAAATGTGGGTTGGTCTAAATAAGTTAAGGGACTGGGAGTGTGGCTCTGTGGTAGCGTGCTTGTGTCTGGAACATGCAGAGCTATGTATTTAATACCCAGCACCATGAAAAAAAAATTAAATAAGGTTAGCTGGCCACGTTGGCGTATAGTCCTAATTCCCTCATCCAAGAGGCTGAGATCAGCATCAGCTTCCTCCTTCTCAGACTTATTTCCTGGTGAAGGGTCTCAAGGTGGCCTGGCCCTCAGCAGTTTTAGGCTGGCTGGCCCGCAAGCTCCAGAAATGCTCTGGACTCAGCTGCTCCAGGGCTGAGACTACAGGCATGAACTGCCATGCCTCGCCCTTTTACGTAGCTGCTGAGGGAGAAGCTTGAGTCTCACGTTTGTGCAGCAAGCACTTTGTCTATTGGCCCATATTTTGAGCCCCCTTGCAGACAAAGGACGGGGTTTAGATGTCAGTCTGTCATCTCTCCTGCTTTCGTGCATGGAAGAACTCCAAGCGCACCCTGGAAACACAATGATCTAAACGAGAAAGGAGCCAGGAAGCCAAAACAAGATAGAAAAATTCAAATGTCTCAGGCAAAACATCTGCCTCTTATGGAGCTCTAAGTTGCTCTTGCTGATTACAACTACAAAAATGAGGTTTCGTCAGTGGTAGTGATCCCCGAGACAGCACAGGGCTTACTCAGAGTCTGCATTCCCACACAGCTCCTGCCCACCTCAGCCACCGGGGAGTCATCTGCATGACCCGCTAGTCTCTCTACACTGGACAGCCCCACCCTGACTCAGGTACCCTTCCCCTGTGCCCACCTTCCTCCGTAGCTCCCACCTCCCACAAGTCCCGGAGGTGGCAGCAGCCCCACTCACCTACAGTGGAGTTGATGAAGGACGCCACACAACTGAGGGACTCTTGTGCACACGTACTGGCGTTGTCAGAACAGGTGTTGTTGGAGACATGACACTGTACACAATCCAGGGAGTCTGAGGGGACAAAGTAGTCACAGAATGCGGTCAACAAACCAGTAGAAGTTCACAAGGCACCACACCTACCACAGTAAAAAAAAAAAAAAATCCAGATGGGACACCCAACTGTCCCCTGAGGAGCCCCAAACTGATGCTATGAGGTGAAGCTACGCCCCTTAGCTTTTCATTATTCATCATTCCCCAACAGGAAAACCAAACCCTGACCAGCAAGAGTGGACTCGTGGTTATCACACAACACAACAGGCCAGGTAGTAGGCAGCAGGACACCGAGAGAAAGAATATTCGGAAGGGTTGGGAGAGGCTTATCCAGAAGGGGCCAGCATGGACTCTCTCACCTACAGCTGTGATGGCAAATGCTGCAATGATCGCAGCAATGAGGGTGCCTTTCATGATGCTGGGGGCTGGCTTCTCCAGAGGATGGGGCCGCAGAGCCTCAAACCTGGAGAGACACAAAGATCTTGGCAGCCAGGGATCTTGGAGGAATACCTACCATAAAAAAAAAAAAAAAAAAAAAAAAAAAAAGGTGTTTTAAAGACACTGAAACAAGACTAGGAATGGGTCTGTCCTTGTCCCGCATAGCTGCACAAAGCTGTGACTCTTGTCCACCCTGTCCTGACAAAAGGTTGAGTTTAAGCCGCAAATGGGCAGACAGACCAATCTCCAGTTCTGCGAGGGCCGAAGGATGTGTCTATCAGATTTCTGTCACTATGACAAAACAGCTGAGATGATTAATCAATTTATATGGAAGAAAGATTCACTGTGGCTCGTGGCTTCAAAGGTGTCAGTCATTTTGACCCATCACATGGGCTCTTATGGAAGCTCATCATGACAGAGCTCTGTTCACCTCATGGCAGCCGGGGAATGGCAAGGAAAGAGGACAGTGCCCTGGTGTCTCCCTTAATGAGCTAACTTCCTTCTCCCAGGCCTCCCTCCTAAAGGTCCCAGCACCTTACTGTAGAGCCTTAGGCTGACGACCAGGCCATTAGCTTTTGAGGGATAGCTGAGATCCAAACCCTAACAGGATCCCAGATGAAAAGAGCTTCCCTGGGTTCTGTGTCCTCCTCACCTCCCTTGGGTTCTGTACTCCCCTCACGCCTCACCAGAATATAATGTGTACTCTCCCTGCAGGGCTATCCTGCACTCACTCAGATGCGGCTGAGACCCCCTACGCAGACACTGTGAGCCCTTGCTGTGTTCCAAGCCCCTCCCAGGCACAATCTGAGTAATTTGTCCACCTTGACAGCAAGGCACTACTCTTAGAACCCAAATAAAACTGACAAGAGAGATAGGATGCGCTCAAAATAAAGACCTTACTCCCTGTGGGTGTCAAAGCTGGGATAGGATGCAAGCCACACTCCTCTCTGCCATCCAGCATGGGTGACACATCGCAAAAGCTGAGGCCAGACACATCGAAGCCCCGGAGTCAGATTACAGCATCACCAGTTTCTCAGCACCTAGCGTCCTTTACCTGCAAATTATCTGAATGAGGTCTATGGAGCTTACTAAGATTGTGCCACGTTTGTTAGGATCCTAAGTCACAGCCCCGGGAATTCCATTTTGCCTGAGCTGCAGCAAAGCCCGGAAAGCAAACCTTTGCATGGGGCTCGCCTTGCTTGTGAGCTTATTTACCCTATAAATGGCAGCCATGGCCGAACATGGCTCCTCGGGTTAATCCACTCAAGGCAGATAAGGACACACCTGTCTCTCAGTACAGGAACCACCGTTCAGCTGCTCAGTGGTAGCCTCGGGGGCTGAGTGAACGGCTGCAGCCGGCCAGGGCAGGCAGAACACTTGCATCCTGTGGGGCCCCAGGCCAGGCTGGTGTCTGCACCCCGCAGGCATGCAACTTTGGGGAATAGCAAAAGCAGCCCAGACTCAAAGCAAGACACACTCCAGGTCCTTCCCGCTCTGAAGCTTGGCAGCATCAGAGAGCTACCACAGCCCGGGGAAGAGCCGACCTGTCCCTGGGGAGAACAGCTCTTCTGCTGCATCCCTTCCCACAGCTCAAACACACACCCCACCACACGGCACACAGCGCACAGCGCACAGCACACGGCACACAGCACACGGCACACGGCACACAGCGCACAGCACACAGCAGTGTGGCCTTCTGGTTGACTTATCAGGGACTAGCAAAAAGTAATAATAATAATAAGAGACGCTATCACAGTCAGGGGGACAGGACCCATATGTTTTCCCGGCTTAGAGACCCAAAGAGCAATGGAGTACGGCTTGTTTAGAGTATGTGACACGTGGGCTCTGCATTCAACTCTACATTCATACACGTACCAAGACACCCCACCAGGCCTGGACCCTCAACTGCTGGGGAAAGACTTCGAGATCCTTATTACTGTGAAGGAGGAGGAAGGCAGAGAAAAGCTGGGGGAGAAGCGATCACAGAAGGGCATTCGCTGCACAGACTGCCTCAACTTCACCACCACACAGGTGGTGAGTTTTCTTTCTAGACCCAGAGAAGTCAAGACCTGGCTAGCAGACAGCAGAGAAGTACAGCCTGGTGGTAATCCTGGGGTTGGACACGAGGCCTGTCGATCACTTCCAGAAGAACAAAGGGTCTCATGTAGCCCAGGCTGGCCTCAAAATGACTGCGTAGTCAAGGATGACCTTTAATTCTAATTCTCCTGCCTCTACCTCCTGAGTGCCGGGATGACAGACATGCATGATGAGGCACTAGGAACGGCACCCAGCACTTCCTGCATCTTCGGCAAGCCCTCCACCACCTGAGCTCCTTCTCCAGTTCCCTCCCTGAGCGGCGACACTCAGCAGTCTAGTAGACACTGCCACAATTGCTGCCATCCACCAGGGAAGCCGGAGCTCAGAGACACAGTGCCACATGGACAACAGGACATCACCTAAAACACACACACACACACACCAGCCTCAACCTCTACTCCAGCCTGCCCATCTGAGATCAGGGCAGCAGTGAGCATCACTGGCAGGGGGGAAAAAGGCTCAAGAATATCCTGAACACTAGCCACAGCAAGCCTGAGTTCCCCGAGTGCCATCCCCCAGGATTCAGGTTCTCCCAGGATCAGGCTCCAACCTCAGCGTCCCCTCACCTTCTGGGTCCAGCCAGGGACACTCCCAAGAAAGGTGGAATGGCAATGTGTTGGAACAGGTGAGGGGAGAGGCCTTATATAGCAGGTGGCTGTGTGATCCAAAAGCCCATTTGCCTTCTGGGGAGGGGCCTTTTTGTTAGCCAGGCCCCAGCTTAGGGCTGTTAGACAGTGCCCTGCCCAACCATAGCGATGAGGCTCTTAACCCTTGGCCCCTGTGTAGGTGGTGTTCTCTCTGAGACCTGAAGGAATTGGAAGTACCTGCCTTTCCCACAGTGTATGATGGGACACAGTGTGTTCCTGGCATCTTCCAGTGTTGGCCATAGCCCACTGACTCACTTCCATAGCCTGGGAATAGCATTCCTGAATACGAGCTTGGTAAAACGGTCCTCTCCCAGTTCTGGCCAAGTCTCCATTTATAGATGAGGAGCCCCAGCTATGGAAGAAAAACGTAACAGGCTTGCCCATGGCAGCTCACTGGGTAGAGTCAGATGGACCTCGGGAGGGCCAAGTCTCAAGAAGCGCATGTCTCTTCGGCAAATGACGTCACCTGGCTAAGTTTGGGGGGTCTCCAACCTAGATAAAGCTAAGCCCACTGTGTAACTGCATGACATGATGGGTGGACTACGGAGGAGAGCTCACCCACAGCAGGCTCTCCACAGGGACTCAGGGACCCCAGCAGGATTCACTGCCTCCTCTGACAGCCAGGGCGCCTTCCTGTCCTTCATCTGGGCAGCCAGCATTGACTGGAGCCCCTCCCAGCCCCTCTTGGGATGCTATGGCTCTCCTCTTCTTTCTGTTGTCCTACCAACATAAACAGACCAACCTCAGTCAGGTTTCTAAGCAGAGACCCTGGCCAGTTCTTATTCTCTCTACCCTCATCCTCCCTCAGCCTTAATGAGGAAATTACCATGAACAAAAGCAGTTCCTTGCCACACAGGGAACTGTTGTTTCCAGCCATGCACCCACTTTTGCAACAAAATTAGCTAGCAGGGTGCAGGATGGCGTAGTGGATACAGGAGAATGAACACGGATGAGGGCAGATGGGGAGTCCCAAGGTTGGAGCTGCCCCAAGTGCACCCGAAGGACTTGGAGTGCTCATGAATTTGTTTGACAGTCCTGGGAAGCCCCCACCGAGTGTTAGAACTAGGATGGGTACAGGAAAACTAGACTAGTCAATGTTAAGTCTCCTCAAGAGGCGTCAGAGACCCGGGCTAGAGAGACAAACGCAACCAAGAAGAAAAATAGTCTGACTCCAGACTTTGCACTCATGTCACATGAGTTACTTATTAACCCTGTTCACTGCCCAAGCCACCTCTGTGAAATCCCAACAACAGCCCTTATAAAAGACCTGCTGGCTGTTTGCTCCCGAAACCCTCATGTCATTCCACTGTGTGTTTTCCAAGGCCATCTATCAGGAAGGTTGAGGGGTGTTGAGCCTTTGGAGTCATCCACACGGATGATCTCAATCCTGTCCCCCATCAGTGTCAACACTGAAGCAACAGCAGCCCCTGGAGCAGGCTGGGAGGCTCTATATGACCACCATCACAACCCTGCACTTGGTGCCCTTGAGGTCCTGGGTAGTACACAAATGGGTACCACATTTCCTCAGACAGATGAGGAAACTGAGGCCCAAAGATGTCTTTCCTCTAGACCTTCAGTGGTTAAGCCATTTTTCCCCCGCTTCCCAAAATAACTCAGGTGCACTGAGCCTCAATACTCTAAGGGCTGGAAATACTGACTCCTCTGCTAACACTCTGGGAGCAACATCTCTGTCATCAGCAACCAGACGTTATGAGGAAACCACCTCCCTAAAGCTGACCCTCAGTCTAACTGGCTAAGAAACCCAACGGCCCAGGAAAAGCCAGCCCCAGTGATCACTTTAACCTTTACTCTCGAGCTGAGAATCCCTGAGAGAGGCTCAGACACTCTGGTTCGGCCATTTCTGGGCAAGAGAGTGAGGTCACCCCTTCTTATATGAGGTCCCACTGAGGCTGGGTTACACACAGTATGTAAACCTGGAGCAACTATGGAAAGTAGTTGCATTCCAGGGTTCCTTTCAGCCTCCAGCAGAGCCTGGATGTGAGTGTCCCACTCCCAAAATTCCCATTGTAGTAAAGTGTACAAAGCCATCAAGGAAGAGAGGCCAGAGCAGGACAAGAGTTCAGCAGAGGATTCCATCAAGAATGATCACCTTTACACCACCTGCCCTCTATTTGCTTCCAGAAGCTCCCATTGGCTGCCTTATTCCTCTAGCTATAACGTTATGACAGGCTAAAAAGGTAATCAAAATCACTGCCCTCCATGCTCGTGCCCCCAGCCACTTCACAGAGGATGCATGCACAGCCTGAAAAATCAGCTTCCCCATGGCCAGTGGTCCTCTTTGAGACAGATTCTCAAATTCAGTCCCTGACTTCCAAATGAGAAAAAGATCATCCCTTACTTGTTAAGTTAGTCTAAGAGTTAAAGGAAAGTACAGGAACATGAGAAGGTGGCTCAGAGGCTAAGAGCACAGCTGCTCTTGCAGAGGATCCCAGTTCCGTTCCCAGCATCCTCGTGGTGGCTCCCAACCACCTACAACTCCAGTTCTGTGACTGGTGATGTCCTCTAGCCACCAAGCACACTTCATGCATGACATGAACTAACACTTATCCACATTTTAAAAAACACTTTAAGTAAATCAATTTTAAAAGAAAGAGATCACTGGGAAGACATTTGGCATGCATACATACATACATACATACATACATACATACATACATACATGTCATAAGGTGCTCCAGGAGCAATGGTTAGCTTAGCTCTCTAGTCACACTGGCTCACACCTGAGACCCCTCAGCCTAGAGGGACACACAAGACCACACAGGATAGTGTTCTGGGCGAAGCCCAGCCTTGGAGTGCACCCTGTCACCTACCAGCAGAGCGAGATTAGAAACTTGCACACTATTTGAATCTGTTTCTTCACCTGAGAGACAAACAGTAGCTACAGGATACCTAATTGGCTGTAAGGATCCAGAGATTTGGGAATTAGTCTTTATCGTTTCTTTAAGCCATACCAAAATGCTCATCTATGTTTGCCATCTGTACCAGTCCTTCAAATAAAGTAAAGTAGTATCAAATCAAAACAAATAAACAAGAAATACTAAGAGAGAAACGGACAATGATCTTTGCACAAAGCACAGAAGACTATAAGGCTGGCCCCAGAGAGTTCTCACAGTGTTGGTGGGAATTTTTCAGTGGCTAGGGCAAAGCCCTGGTGAGCACGTGTCAAGGCACGAGTCAGCTAACCATCACAGGAAAATTTCAGCAATAATCATTTCTACAAAACCTGTGTACAAGGCTGGACTGATGGCTTGGCTGTTCAGAGCACACACTGTTCTTGCAGACAACCCGGATCCCAGTACCCATGGCAGGCAGGTTCATGGCCACCTCCAGCCCCAAGGGATTTGACAGCCTCTTCTAGCCATGCTGGGCACCCACACACATATGCCATGCACCCACACATACACATAAATAAAAGTTTACATTTAAAAGATGGCAGCCCCCTGCTCTTTGCCTTTCTGTAACCATTGGCCTTTTTTTTTCCCCACATACCCTCACCTCTGAGCTTCAAATTTACTCATTTATTCAACAGGGCACTAACCAAAAGCTGAGGAAGACAAACCAATTTCCTGCCCTTTCCAGGTTTTTAAAAATTTCATGAAAACGAGTGTCTCGATAGAAGTAAAATGGAGCAAAACACATTAAATAACAGCGCTGACTCCTTAGACACACAGAGAAAAAAAAAACAGGCAGGGATTTAGAAAGGCAAGATGGCCCAAAAAAATCCTCTCTTTTGAAACAGTGTGTCTTGCTTAAGGAAATGAGCAGAGCTTACTAAAGAATTACCAGTTCACGAGAGAATCCAGTTTATGGAGACTTTACAAGACTGTGTTCACACCCTCCTCCTGAGCTCATTTGAATATTCTATATTTGTTCTCCACATGAGCAGCTTAGATGACGGGCAGAGTTCCTGAGCTGCTTGCAACATGGTAGAGCAACTTACGAGCGGTGAGTCAATGTTCCTTCCAACATTACAATTTCCTTCTTCATAAAATGGTGTGTTTCAGAATTAGCATCTTTACACACCAATAATGAGCATACACAGAAGAAAACTTAAGAAAGCAATTACTTTCACAAGCCCACCAAGAAATACAATGATAAGATACTTAAGGATAAAGTTTGCCGAGTAAGTAAAGAACTCTGTGGTGGCTGATACTGGTTGTCAACTTGATGGGTTTTTAGAATCACCTAATAGGCAAACCACCCATGGGAGTGCCAGTGAGGGAATTTATGGACTGACTTGATTAAAGTGGGAAAGTCAACCCTAAGTGTGTGTGGCTCCATTCCATTGGCTGGAGAAAATGAACTGAGCACCAACATCTCTCTCTCTTTCTTTCCCTCTCCCTTTCCCTCCCTCCCTCTCTCTCTCTCTCTCTGTCTCTCTCCTTCCTAACAATCCCTGCTGTTGGCTTGAAGCATTTCACCTAGATTTTCTTTGAAAAGTTTCATGTCTTACACATAGTCCTATAATCCATTTTCTTTTGAGACCTGCCACCACAACTGTCCCATTACAATCAGCTACACCCTTGAACAGTGAGCCAAAATAAAACCTTTTCTTCTTAAGTTGCTTTGGTTAGGTACTTGGTCACAGCAATGAGGAAAGTAACTAACACAGAACCCTACAAGAGAGACGTGAAATACTGATGAAAGAAACTAACCAAAAAAAAAAAAAAAAAAAAAAAGGCATGAGGAATGGGTGATCGTGAATTGGAGGAACTGATACTGATAAAAATGTCATTATTCAAAACAACTCCAAATGCAATCCCTATCAAAATACTGAAGGGACTTCTCAGAGCTGGAAAAGATAATACTAACATTCATTTAAATGCACAATAGACTTCAAAAAGCCAAAACAGTGTTGAGCAGAAACAAAGTCTAAAAGAATCAGATCATTTGATTTTAAAACATAGAGCAAAGCCCTAAAAGCCAAGACGCCACCAGCATGAACATTA